AAAGCCAGCTTTTGCATCTGTGATTGCATTGAATGTCCATAGTGATTTGGATTACTTCTCAGTTTTTTTCAATTTTGTTTTAAATTCGCAAATAACAATTGTATAAATTGGTGAGGTACAACGTGATATTCTGATATAAGTATACATTATGGAATGATTAAGTCAAGCAAATTAACATATCCATCACCTCATATACTTAAACTTTTTAAAATGATGTGCACATGTAAAATCTACTTTCTTAGCAATTTTGAAATATACATGTGTAGTCACCATGCTATGCAGTAGATCTCAAACACGTATTCCTGGCCGAGCGCAGTGGCTCATGCCTATAATCCCAACACTTTGGGAGGCTGAGGTGGGTGGAGCACCTCAGGTCAGGAGTTTGAGACCAGCCTGGCCAAGATGGTGAAAACCTGCCTCTACTGAAAATGCAAAATTAGCTGTGTGTCGTGGCAGGTGCCTGTAATTCCATCTACTCAGGAGGCGGGAGAATCGCTTGAACCTGGGAGACGGAGGTTGCAGTGAGCCAAGATCACACCATTGTACTCCAGCCTGGGTGACAGAGTGAATTCCATCTCAAAACAAACAAATAAAATAAAATAAAAATAAAAAAGATTATTGGGGAAGGATATACAGAGTATCAGAACTTCAGTTCTATCAGAAGAATCAAGTGTCTATACAGATATCCCATGAGACAAGGGAATGAAGAGATATTCATAGAACTTAATGAGTTCTGGAACAAAATTTACAAAAAAGCAAAACCAGAATATTTCTCCCCACTGGTTTGCCTCCACACTTAAAATTACTAACAATCTATTTCTGCTGACCCTTCTAAGAAGATGAAAATGCTTTTGCATTAATTTATTAAAAAAATATTTACTATGTTATTATGTGATAAAATACGCATGTCTAATCATATACTTTTTAAAGAAAAATACAAGCTAGACATTTTCTTTTTTTTTTTTTGAGATGGAGTCTCGCTCTGCCCAGGCTGGAGGGCAGTGGTATGATGTTGGCTCACTGCAACCTCCGCCTCTTGGCTTCAAGTGATTCTCCTGCCTAAGCCTCCCAAGTAGCTAGGATTACAGGTGTGCACCACCATGTTTGGCTAAGTTTTGTATTTTTGGTAGAGATGGGGTTTTGCCATGTTGACCAGCCTTGTCTCGAACTCCTGGCCTTAATTGATCCACCGGTCTTGGTTTCCCAAAGTGCTGGAATTACAGGCATGAGTCACTGTGCCTGGCCATGCTGGACATCTTTCATAGATACAATTTCTGTGCCTAGACTCCATTCTAAACCAGTATACATACCATAGGTGGCCCCAAAGGAAATGAAACCAAACTCTTAGAATTTTGTCTTCCCACATAAGCAACCTCAGAGTACTGCCGATCTATGTTTTTCTACAAGTAACTGTACCAAAAAAAGAAAGAAAAAAGCTTGTCTCTGTTACTTACGTGCAACTACTAACAAGGCTCAGATCTGCCCTCATCATGGGACTATATTGTTTCACAAGTTCCTTGTCTTCAACAAAATCCTTGGGGGTGCCTCCAAATTCCGTAAGGTAATGACTAATTTGTTCTTCTGACAATTCATCTTCTTTGGGAATGCGAGGCCAGGCCTTTGACTTGAAACATGAACAACAACACAGGCCTGATATTTCATATAACACACTTGGCTCATAAACTGAAAACTGTTGATCTAAGGGAAAAGTCATTAAACCAAGGTTGGGAAGGAGACTGCTTTATCTATAGGCTTCAGGAAAGAACTATGTCGTTTTGAAAGCAGGGAGAAGAAGGCTCGTCAGTAATAACTGCAGCATCATAATGCCACCAAAATGGCTTTGTAGATTTAGAATCCTGGGACAGGCAGGATCTTTCTCCAGATGAAGTAGGGAAGACCAAAGAGGTAGGAGGAAGAGCAGCAGGAGCAACAGCACCAGGTTTAAAAAGCCATGGTAGTTCTAAGAACTTGACATCACTGTCCTCTTTTAAAATTTCAAGGAGTCTTTCCTGGTTCTGATGCAGTCACTTTGCTCAAAGTTGGTTACGTTCCCAGCTGACCCAGAATGAAGGAAAAGGCACTATGGTCAGCATTAGCTCAGAGATGCCAGGAATAGTACCAGTAGGGAACAGTTGAAATGCATTTCCGGGAAACAGAGAGAGAATGATATTGAAAGAGATTCAAGGGATTTTTCAACAGCAAGTATTAGGTTGGTGCAAAATCAATTGTGGTTTTTGCCATTGAAAGTAATGGCAGGACGGGCGTGGTGGCTCACACCTGTAATCCCAGCACTTTGGGAGGCTGAGGCAGGGGGATCACCTGATGTCAAGAGTTCAAGACCAGCCTGGCCAACATGGTGAAAGCCCGTCTCTACTAAAAATACAAAGTTAGCTAGCCGTGGTGGCGCACACCTGTAGTCCCAGCTACTCAGGACGCTGAGACAAGAGAATTGCTTGAACCCGAGAGGCAGAGGTTGCAGTGAGCCAAGATCGTGCCACTGCACTCTCGAAAAGAAAAAGAAAGTAGTGGCAAAAACCTCAATTGCTTTTGCACCAACCTAATAGTATCCCTACCATCATCATTATACTGGACCAGAATTCACCAGATAGGGAAATAATGGCTTCATTTTTATCCCTATTTCCCTGCTCTCCACTGCCCTTCCTAGGAAAAAGCGAAATTACTTACATGTATAGGAGTTGCGCTTGACAAAAATACATGCAGTGGTTCTGGTTTATTGTTTTCTTTTAAGTGTAGTGCAGTCCTAAAAGCAATGTAGGATCCCATACTAAATTCAGGAAAGAAAAACATGACAAGAACTGTTAACCAAAACTCATGATGATCCACAGAAAGTCAATAGGAACAGTATCATAAACACAGCAGTGATCATGTAATAGTTGAAAGAAAAGCGTGAGTTGATTAAGAAGTCTATCTTTTCAGTGATTTATATCAGCATAAAAAGTGTTTCAAAGACAGCCTAGATAATTCACTCTAAGATTTAGTACTGATTTCCACAGTGTCTTCAAATTAATTTAAATTTCCTTTTCTTCCTTAAAGATGTGTATCACTATGCCTTTGATAGCATATATCCGCAGCTCTCAAAATATGGTTTAGGGATCCCTGGAAATTTCTGAGTTCCTAATGGATGGTCCATGAGGTCAAAGCTATTTTCAGGATAAATACTAAAATGTTATTTGCCTTTTTTACTCTAATGCATACACAGTGGAGTTTTCCAGAAGCTATATAACGTGATATAGCAACAGTTTGAATGCAGAGACAGAAATGAGAATCCATCTGCTTTCTATTATGTCAGACATTAAACAGATTTGCAAAAGTATAAAATGATGCCACTCTTCTCACCTTCTCACATGTTTTTGGAAAATATAATCTTTTTCATAAAAATGTATTATTTATATCAATGTAAAGTAGGTTTGTTAATGTTATTTTTAGATAAGTTAATAAATATCTTTAAATTTTCTTAGTTTTTCCCTCCAGTATGATAAATATCGCCAGATATATCATATAAAAACAAAAGCTCTTTGAGTTCCTCAATGCATCTTAAAAGTATAAAGGGGTACTGGGGCTGAAAATGTTTGTGAACTGCTATTGATATTATGTAAATACATTTGGTAGACAAAACTGCCAGAGGTTGCTTATTTGTAAATTGCATATGTATATATTTTATGAAAGACAGGAAAACTCAGCATCTTGTTCATTGTGCAGGGAGTGTAAAGTGCAGGTAATTTGGAAATATATATCAAGAACTTTTACAGGCTGGATGCAGTGTCTCCCGTCTGTAATCCCAGCATTTTGAGAGGCGGAGGTGGGTGGATCACTTGGGCCCAGGAGTTGGAGACCAGCCTGGGTAACATTGCGAAACCCCATCTCTGTAAAACATCAATGACAAGAAATTAGCAGGGCGTAGTGGCGTGCTCCTGTAGTCCCAACTACTTGGGAGGCTGAGGTGGAAGAATCACTTGAGCCTGGGAGACAGAGGTTGCAGTGAGCCATGATCGCACCACTGCCCTCCAGCCTGGGTGACAGAGCAAGACCCTGTCTTGAAAAGAACTTTAAGAATGTGCATATTATTTAAGGTAAATTCTGAGAATTTATCCTAAAAAAGTGATAGGAGATGTATACTAAATTTTCTATAAGAATGTTCATTGGGCTGGGTGCGGTAGCTCATGCCTGTAATCCCAACACTTTAGCAGGCCAAGGCAAGTGGATCACTTGAGGTCTACAGTTTGAGACCAACCTGGCCAACATGGTGAAACCCCAAGTCCATTAAAAATATAAAAATTAGCCAGGTATGGGGGTATGTGCCTGTAATCCCAGCTGTTTGAGAGGCTGAGGTGGGAGGATTGCTTGAACCCATGAGGTGTCGGTTGCAATGAGCTGAGATCATGATATTGCACCCCAGCCTGGGTGACAAAGTGAGATTCTGTCTCCAAAAAAAGAAAAAGAATGTTCACTGAACTATTGTTTATAACAGAAAAAGACAGAAATACCTCATATCCACAAAAAGAGGTTAATCAAGCAAATCAGGAAGCAATGTATACTTACAGGATGTGAAAGATATTTATAGCAATAATATAAATATATTTAATTTAATATATTTAATGTAATACTATAATATAAATACAGCAATAAATTTCTTTCACATCCTGTGAGTATACATTGTTTTTAAGTGAAAAAGATCAAGTAAATATATAAAACTAGACCCCACTGTGTAAAAATACTAAGCAACCACATCAGAATTTTAAAGCATTCTTATCCGGGTAGGAGGATGATGGGTACTTTTTATTTTTTAATTTCTTCTTGACTATATTTGTAAATCTTATAAGATATAATAGCCAAAATTTATTGAGACCTTACTATATACCAATTTATTTAAGATCAGTATTCATTTAAGCCTCACAAGTGGGGACTGTTGTTATTGTACCCTTTAGAAAAAGAAACTAACTCAGAAGTCTAAGAAATTTTTGCAAGCTCATACAACTGAAAAGAGATAGCCAGAACCCCAGGGTCTCTGACTTAACCTGAAAATTACACAATGTAGCTTAAGAAACACATACTTTGCATAATTTCTTATTTCAAAAATAAATAGAATGTAAGCTGCTATTAAAGTCTTGGTTTTACAAGTGTTGACTTTATTTGCCTAAAAGGAAAAAAAACAGGTATACTTACCATACAAACTGGTGAATTGTAAAAGTTGTTACGGTCGTAATTACCCAACATGCTGTCTAACCAATAAAAATGTATGCATCTTACAAAACACAAAGAACAACATTAACCACAAACTTAAGATAGAAGGAACTCCCCTGAAATTTTTAAAACGGATATCAAATACCTGTGGCCAAAAAATGCAAATTGTTTGTCCTGGATGACTGGCTGCAGAGCACAAACAACTTCATCGACTAACTGGGAGATGTCATTTGCAAAAGGTTCTTCAATTCGGCTTTCTCTTCCAGGAAGCCTTAAGGAGTGCACTGGAGATAGAGAATCACAAGTGAACACTCACAGACAGTCAATGAGATATTGTGATATTATAAAAGGGCTCATATTTACGTGATGGAAAAAATTTCAAGGAAACGAATGATAACATTTAAGTGCAGCAAGGTAAAAGTTTTACAATGTGCTGATAATAAAAGCAAGAGCATAAAATATAGCAGACTAAGTATCTGCTCACAATAAGATAAAGGGAACACCTAGAAGAAAAAGAAAAAAAAAGGAACTGAAAATTCCACTGATGATCATGTGCTGATAAATGCTTACCCCAACAGCCATTACCTATATCAGGAGAATAAAACATCAGTTTTCAGGGGTGACCTAGAGGGTCAGGAGATAAGGCAGTGGAAAGCATTACATTTGAGAGTTAGAACTGAGTCCTTCACACAAAGCCAAGAAATCCTAAATTCTAGAACCTCTGTGAAAAAGGTAGACTAGAAATAAAGTATTTATTTTCCAAATGGCAAAGGAGAAAAGAACTTTCTGATTTTGCCTTGGCTCTGGATGGAGGAAAAAATCTGCCCTTACATTTTTTAAATTGAAGCCTTGTATTTATGCAAATTTCAAGTTTATTTATGTTACTTTGGTAGACCGGAGTGCAAGTAACATAAATAAACTTCAAATTTATAGAAAGTGAAGCTGCAAAAATAACTCAAAGTGATCCTGGGCTAGTAGCACTTCAGGATGCCTAACAGAAACAATGACAAGTCATCTCCTAATGAATACACAACATAAGCATCTCCAGAATCAAACATCAAGCTGATCCCAAATAACTTATTCGCTTGCTGCTAGAGCAAAATCAAACACACTGTAAAGGAATACAACAAAATCCAGGACCCAACAAAGCAAAACTGACAATATCTAACATCTAATCAAAACTCACCAGACGTGCCAAAAAGCTGGAAGATATGACCCATAACAGGTCCAGGGGGAGCATCAAACATAAGAAACAGACAAGAAATAACAAACGATGGAGTCAGCAGACAAGAACCTTAAACAGTTATTAAATACAAATGTGCTCAATAATGTAAATGAAAATATGAACATGATAAGAACAGAAACTAAAGAGTTTTCAAAGACCCAAATGGAACTTGTAGAAATGTAAAATATATGAAAAATGTTTTAAAAACACCAGACAGGATTAACAGCAGACTACACACCAAGAAGAAAAGATCAGTGAACTTAAACATAGAAAAAGAAACTATCCACAATTAAGCATGTTGGCCGGGCATAGTGGCTCACACCTGTAATCCCAGCACTTTGGGAGGCCGAGGTGGGCAGATCACTTGAAGTCAGGAGTTCAAGACCAGTCTGGCCAACATGGTGAAACCCCGTCTCTACTAAAAATGCAAAAATTAGAGGGGTGTGGTGACACATGCCTGTAAGTGCAGCTACTTAGGAGGCTGAGGCACGAGCATTGCTTCAACCCGAGAGTTGGAGGTTGTAGTGAGCCGAGACTGCGCCATTGCACTCCAGCCTGGATGACAGAGCAAGACTCTGACTCAAAAACAATAGATAAATAAATAATAATTATTATTATAGAGACAGGGTCTCACTGTGTTGCTCAGACTGGTCTTGAACTCCTGGCCTCAAGCAATCCTCCTGCCTCAGCCTCCCAAAGTGCTGGTATTACAGGCATGAGTCACTGCACCTGGATTTATAGCAGTCTTTTAGATTGTATTCAAAAGCAAAACAGAAAAAGGGAAAATAGAACATATCATGGGACAAATTGGAAACAATTGCAAGATGGTAGATTCAGTTCAACCATATCAATAATTATACCAAAGACAAATGCGGTATTAGAATATTATCTCCTAAAAGGTCCTTCTAGCGCTAACGATAAGAACAAAGTAAAGGCAACTTACTTTAGAAATATAAAAGTTATTCTATGGAAGCGTAATCTTGAAAGTTTATTATTAATTACCTACCAGGAAGGAAAGTCTTGACCAAACTTCAAATTCTAATACATTTATGTCATCTGCCCTAATAAATTCTTTAAATGATGTTAAAAATGAACATACCTTCCAGTGAATCATGAGTATCTTGGCCCCATTTGGCAAAATGAACGGAGCCACCTCCTGCCCAGGGAAAGCAAATCAGCTTAAAAGTTGCCTCAGGGTTTTTGTATAAGCAGTTGAAAACGTTTTCATTCCTAGAGAGAAAATTCAAATATATGTAACATTATGTATATCAATTAAGTTCCCCATACTGAATTACCTGTGTTTTAATGAAAATCTTTATTAATTATTAAAAAAAATGTTCAAATATAAAGCGATTGCAAATTTTTCCAATAAGAAAGGGCAAAAAAGGTTTCAACAGTCTGTGCTGAAAATTTGAATACATAGACTTTTAGGACTGGGCATGGTAGCTCATGCCTGTAATCCCAGCAATTTGGGAGGCCAAGGCAGGAGGATCACTTGCAACTAAGAGTTTGAAGCTAGTCTGAACAACATAGTGAGACCTCATATCTACAAAAAATTTAAAAGTTAGGTTGGCATAGTGGTATACATCTATGATCCCAGCTACGTGGGAGGCAGAGGCAGGAGGATCTCTGGAGCCTAGGAATTTGATGGTGCAGAGAGCTATGACTGCACCACTGAATTCCAGCCTCAGTGACAGAGTAACATCTTGCCTCTAATTTTTTTTTTTTTAAGACAGGGTCTCACTTTGTTTCCCGAGTAGCTGGGATTACAGGCAAGTGCCACCAAGCCCAGCTAATTTTTTTATGTTTTAGTAGGGACGGGGTTCCTCCCTGTTGGTCAGGCTGGTCTCGACCTCCCGACCTCAGGTGATCTGCCTGCTTTGGCCTCTGAAAGTGCTGGGATTACAAACATGAGCCACCACGCCCAGCCCTTGTCTCTAATTTCTAAATAAAATAAACTTTTAGGGATGTAGGTGAAATTGTCACATACCTATATATAACGTTCAGTAAGTGCATTTTATATGCACACTTAAAGTGACATAAATGTTAATTTAGAAATTGCCTTTTTCACAATTTGGAGAATAGTTTTATCCAAACCGTTCATGGGCACCTTCAATCTTGGTGTCTTCATGATCTCCAGAGCCACTTTCAAGTTATATGTCAGTTTTATAGAGCATATAATTTTGACTTCCTGCTGAATGTTTGATAAACAGTGCTTTTTACATTTACTTATAGGCTGGGCTCAGTGGCTCATGCCTGTAAGCCTGGCACTTTGGGAAACCAAGGGAGGCAGATCACTAGAGGTCAGGAGTTCGAGACCAGCCTGGCCAACATGGCAAAACCGTGTCTCTATAATAATACAAAAGTTAGCTGGGTGTGGTGTGGGCAACGTTATCTTGGGGTACTCGGGAGTTGGCAGGGGAGAATGTTAGCGCTGAACCCAGGAAGCGGGGGTTTGCAGAGAGGCCGAGATCGCACCACTGCTTTTCCAGCGCTGGGTGACAGGAGTGAGACTCCATCTCAAAACAAACAAACAAACCAATCTACTGGTATGAGAATGTCACTGGAATTTTTATTCCAGAGATCCAAGTACCAATCAGGTGGATATTAGGAAAGTTTCTTGTGGAAAAAGTCATTCCTATCTGGTACACTTTGTGGCGTCGGCCACAATGTTTAAATGATTTCTAGAAAGTTCCCAAATTTTGACCTTAAGATTCGCTTACAACGAACGAGATATAATATTCCCAAATGTGAGGTTTTCTTAAACCCTAGTTATTTAAATGATGAAATCTGTTATAACCCCTCTCTTGTTTTTTTTCAGTTGATTCTTCAAACGTCGACAACTGAACACCACTGATACCTTTTCAGTTAAAACCTTGTGTTCTGTAAAGGGTTACTTTATTCTTCATAACAAAGCTCTCGAGAGATACTCATAAAATGAGAGATTTTAGATGAACCCTCAGGCACAAGCGAAATTTTTTGGCAGTGGCAGGGGGTAGGATAATTTTCTCTGGAGAAAAATCCCTGCTGTTTACTCTGGGCGTTATTGTAAATACTTTACTAGTTGTAAAGATAAAAGGCAAGAAAGACGAATTGTTATTTATCTTTATTTATTATTTTTTTGAGATGCAGTCATCGCTGTCAACCAGCTGGGATGCACGCTGGGCTACGATCTCGTCTCACTGCAACCTCCACCCTTTCTGGGTTCAGCAATTCTTGCCTCTTCCAGCCTCCTGAGTGGCTGGATTACCACCATCGCTGTCGCGTCCCCACACCCGGCGAATCTCTTTTGGTATTTTTAGTAGAGATGGCGTTTTGCCACGTTGGCCAGGGCCTGTCTTGAACTCCTGACCTCAGGGTGTTTCACCTGCCTCAGGCTCACCCCGAAGTGCTGGGTTACAGGCGGTGAGCCCACCTGCACCTGGCCAGAAGCCTCTTTCAAACTCAGAAGGATCGCACAAAGGCAGGGGTATCGAGAGCCGCCTGGGGATGGAGGAAAGCCTGTGGCACAAGGGAGTGACCTACCTGTTTCTCTTAGCTTGGTCTCCTCTGTCCGTCTGCTGTGGAAGTAGAGGGTGCAAGATTGCTGGTCTCTGCGGTGTGTTGAATGCCCAACAGCACTCAGTTCCTCTTGAGAGGCAGAACCTCTGCTCAGCCTTGGGCACACAGAGAAGTGAGTAGATTTCTGTTTAAAGGCTCTGACTCTTATTGTCTGCTCCAACTTCTGTTAAAAATGAAGAAGGTTAGAGGCAAAGGAAGGAGAAGACAGGGAAGAGAATAAAGTGATAGTGGTGATGACAAAGGAGAAGAAGAAATGGGTTAGAAGCAACACACCTGGCCGGGCCGGGTGGCTCAAGTCCTGTAATCCGTATTGGAGCCGAGACGGGGGATCACGGAGGTCAGGGAGATCGAGGACCATCCAGGCTAAAAGTGAACCCTGTCTTACTAAAAATCAAAAACTAGGACCTGGGCGAGGTGGCTGGGATGCGCTGTAGTCCCAGCTATCGGAGAGGCTGAAGGCAGTGAAGAATGGCTCGCGAACCCGGGGAGGCGGAGTTGCAGTTGGAGCTGAGGATTCCGGCCAATGCTCACTTCCAGCCTGGGTGACAAGAGCGGGAACTCGTCTCAAAAAAAATAAATAAAAATAAAAAAAAAAAAAAAAAAAAAGAAGCACACAACTTGATGTTTAATTCAGATAGGAGTCACCCACCTTCAGCACCCCGTTCATATCCAAATTGCATAACGCCTCCACTGTTCGGCTGCCACATTATACCGGGAAAGCAAAAGATGACAGTTTCCGACCTCTAGCCCTGAAAAGCCTCCTCCTAAAAGAACAGAACATTCATACATACTAGGAATTAGGTAACGGGTGGGGATGTTTGGTTTTGGACACACAGAGATGTCTAAGCTTTTCCGGTGTTCTCAAAGGTTACTCTTTTAAATCTCAGAAAGAGGGCTGGGCATGGTGGGGTCATCCCAGTTCGAGGTAAGAGTCGAGACCAGCCTGGCCAACGTGCGTGGGAAACCCCATTTCTCTATAAAATTTTTTTTACCCAAAAAAAATTGCTGGACATGTGGACATGGACGTAATCCAGCTAGTCGGGGAGCGAGGGCTGGGGAAATGCTTGACCTGAGGTGATGAAGGTTGCATGAGCTGAGGATCAGCAGCCTGCACTCCAGGCTGGGGACAGAGTGAGATCCTCTCAAAAATAAATAAAATAAATCTCGAAGAAAGAGGAATTCTAAAAAAAAGGCTTTCACTGGCTGTGCCAACACTTCCCATTTTGCAAGCGTTCAAATATTTCAGAAAGGAAGAAAAATATCTGAGTCGTGTTATTATTTATTTATTTTTGAGACCCAGAGTCTACCTCTGTCACCCAGGCGCTGGAGTGCAGGGTCTAATTTGGCTACACCCTCCCCGGTTCCACCTCCCAGGTTCAAGTGTTCTCCTGCCTCAGCCTTCCCAAGTGCTGGGATAGGCTGCCTGCCACACACGCCCAGGATCTTGGTATTTTTGTAGAGACAGGGTTTCGCCATGTTGCCCAGGCTAGTCTCAAACTCCTGACCTCAAGTGATCCACCCACGTTGGCCTCCCAAAGTGCTGGGATTACAGGAGTGAGTCACCACGCCCGGCCAGATCTGTCATTTATTTATTTGAGACTATTGCCCAGGATGGAGTGTGGTGGCGCTCCCTTGGCTCACTGCAACCTCCACGTCTCAGGTTCAGGCGATTCCTGTGCCTTAGCTGGGATTACAGGCGCCTGCCACCATGCCTGGCTAATTTTTGTATTTTTATTAGAGACTTGGGTTTCACCATGTTGGCCAGGCTGGTCTCGAACTCCTGACCTCAAGTGCAGCTCTGTCATTTATAAAGGTCTTTATCTTCTTACGTCCTAGGAGCTCCTTGGATCCCAAGTATTCATTTTAAGGCCACAGTTAACTTGACAGGCTCAGTTGTGACTTTCAACACAGTTCCAGAGAGCCCAGGTGAATCCCTCAGCCTCCAGTTTTTATCACGTAGTGGAGGGCATTTTTAGGAACAGAAAGATCTTCCTAAATAGAGGAAGAAAGTTTATGGAGGGTGGGGAGCCCAGCTGTTTGTTTCTTAGAGCCTTTTCTTAGTAATTCTGGGCCAGAGCCATCATCACCTCTCAGAAAAAAATCACCTGAATGACTCATGAGGATTTCACTGAATTTACGTGGAAATAGTTCCTTCTTGGCAATCATATGAAAGGCAGAAAAAGATAGCAAGTTCTTCCAAGGAAAATAGGCAGTCAGAGCTGGGATACAAATTTTTTGGTGTTGAGAATTAAAAGTTGTTACGGAGCATTACAAAGTTTTCATAAAAGTAGGTTGAATTCCTGCAACTCTTTCTAATTGAAGTATATTAAAACCTTGTTTTGTATCATTTTTTTTTGATTTGGCGCAGTCTGTGACCAATTAATACTTGGCAGGATTAACCATTTAACCACTGTCCAAGATTACTCAAGAAATGTTTTCCAAGTTGAGTAAAATGTCCTGGGTTTTGTTTTCAACACTGGAGGGATTCTCCGGTAAAAATAACAGTGACTCTCTCCTCAAGGTTAAATCTCTAGATGCTTTCATTTGATTGAAGTACCAGACGAGAGAAGAGGGAGAGTGGGACAGAGACAATACTCCAGAGATAATGGCTTAGATTTTTGTGGAACTGATGCATAAAACTAGTCCAAAGATAAAACATGCCCAGCAAATGTCCAGCAGACTAGATTACCAAAAAAGCAATCTTTATAGAGATGTATTACAATGAAACAGCCAAACAAAGAAACACAGAAGAAAATTATTAAAAGGAGCCAGGAGGTGAGAAGAAGTAGGCATGGACTCATAGCAATGCAAAAACATGGAAAAGAATAGAATGATATCTTCAAGTACTAAGAGACAAGAACTGCCAATTTCGAATTCTATACCCAGTAGAGACAGCTTTTAGGAAACAGGACAACGTGAAGACATTTTCAGACAAGTAAAAACTCAGTTTGTCGCCGGGAGACACTTTTTAAAGAAACGTTAAAGGATATACTTTGAGCAGAAAGTAAATGATCCCAGATGGAAAATAGGAGATGCAAGGAGGAATGAAAAAGACAGTGATAAATATGTGAGCTAATGTAAATGAACATTGATTACATAAAATGGTAATTGTAATGTGTGGTGGACCTTAAAATATATACGAAATTAGGGACAGATGCAGTGGCTCGTGCCTGTAATCCCAGCACTTTGGGAGGCCAAGGCGGGTGAATCACGAGGTCAGGAGTTTGAGACCAGCCTGGTCACAAGGTGAAACCCCATCTCTCCTAAAATTCAAAAATTAACTGGGCGTGGTGGCAGATGCCTGTGATCCGAGCTACTTGGGAGGCTGAGGAAGGAGAATTGTTTCAAACCGGGAGGTGGAGGTTGCAGTGAGCTGAGATCGTGCCATTGTACTCCAGCCTGGGCGACAGAGCAAAACTCTATCTCAAAAAAAAAAAAAAAAAAAAAAAAAAAAAAAAAAAAAAAAAAAGAAAGAAAGAAAGAAAGAAAGAAAGAAAGAAAGAAAGAAAGAAAAAATATATATATATAAAATTAAAATACAAGGCAAAATAATGTCAAAGTCAGGAACAGGCAAAGAAAGGTCCTTACATTATCTGTGAGGTTTTACTCAGTTTAGACTGTATAAATATGCATGCCTTAATTTCTCAGGCTAGCCCTTTGAAGAACAGAAACAGACTGTAAATCATCCAAACTGGGAGAGACAAATGTTTGTTTAATCAACAAGAGAATTGAGAAAAGGAAAAGGAAAGAAACATAGAACAGGTAAAGCAAATAAAAAGTAGAATGCAAGATGACAGATTAAACCCCAGATACCAGTGATTATATTACATACAAACAGACTAAATTCTCTAGTTATAAAGCAATATTCACAGATTAGCTTAAAAGATAATCTAATTATAGGTGCACATGAGACATATCTGAGAAGGTATTACTCTTATGATTTTTAGATAATTGAAAATATAAAATACTCACTTGCCAGGTTTTGAGATGAACTCTGAGCAAACAGTCTGAAAGATGACTTTCTTTGGATAGCCACAGAAAGAGAGGGCACGGGAAATGAGGTAATCTCAGAACATTATGAAAGAACAAGAAGAAGAACAAAGCAGGAAGAACAACATGGGCTATGGCCCAGAAGAGACACAGTGCACCATCTATTAGGAAAAGAAAAGCAGTTAACTAAACTGGAAGGCAAGGCCGGTGCAGTGGCTCATGCCTGTAATCCCAGCACTTTGGGAGGCCTAGATGGGCGGATCACCTGAGGTCAGTAGTTCGAGACCACCCTGGCCAACATGGAGAAACCCTGTCTCTACTAAAAATACAAAGTTAGCTGGATGTGGTGGTGCATGCCTATAACCTCAGCTACTCGGGAGGCTCAGGCAGGAGAATCCCTTGAACCCAAAAGGCAGAGGTTGCAGTGAACTGAGATGGCGCCATTGCACTCCAGCCTGAGCAACAAGAGTGAGACTCTGTCTCAGAAAAAATAAAAAAGAAAAAGAAAAAATAACTGGAAGGCAGAATGGGGGAGAGCGAGTGGTAAAAGAAGAAATGAGAAAGTAGTTAGGAGGCAGGTTATGAATGACTTTATAAGCAAAAACTTTTAAGGAGTTTGGACTTGATCTTAAGAGGAAGAGAATCTGGTGGGGCATGGTGGCTCATGCTGGTAACCCCAGCACTTTGGGAGGCTAAGGTCGGTGGATCACCTGAGGTCTAGAGTTCGAGACCAGCCGGCCAACATGGTGAAACTCCATCTCTACTAAAAACTACAAAAAATTAGCTGGGCATGGTAGTAGTCACCTGCTACTGGGGAGGCTGGGGCAGGAGAATCACTTGAACCTAGGAGGCGGAGGTTGCAGTGAGCCGAGACTGCGCCACTGCACTCCAGGGCAACAAGAGCGAAATTCTGTCTTAAAAAAAAAAAAAGAAAAGAAGAAAAGAATCCACTGGAAGGTGGAAAAATGTGAATTGACTTTCAGAATGACTGACTGACAGTAAAAACAAGTTAAGAGGCTGTTTTAGAGATCTAGACGATTAAGAGTTATACCTGGCCTTATGATATTAGCAAATACATAACACTAGGGGCCAAACACCCTTCTAAGCTTTCAATACCTATTAAGACTTTTCATGTTTACAGTCATGTAGGCATTATTCACAAGAATAATTAAGGTATTATGTCCCCCAGTTTGAAGATTAAAAAAAGCTAAGGCACAGAGAGGTTAAGTAACTGACTGAAAGACACGTGGCTAGGGAACAGACCAGAGGGCAAACCCAAGTAGTCTGGTTCCAGAAACTATGCTGTTCACCCCTAATGCATTATGCCTTTGTGCTAAAGTGGAGGAGCTGAGGATGAAAAGAAGGCTTGGGTTCCTCAGCTAGTTTCACCATGAAACCAGTAGGAATTGATCATTTCTTAGATATGGAGACCATGGGAGAGGGAGGAAGGAAGTGTGATGTCCAGCTATTTTATAGCACAACAGAGTGACTGTAGTCAATAATAACTTAACTGTACATTCTAAAATAACTAGAAGAGTATAACTGGATTGTCTGTAACACAAAGGATAAATGTTTGAGAGGATGGATACCCCATTCTCCATGACATTATTTTACATTGCATGCCTGTATTAGAACATCTCATGGGCTGGGCGCGGTGGCTCACGCCTGTCATCCCAGTGTGTCCGGAATTGGTGGGTTCTTGGTCTCAGTGACTTCAAGAATGAAGCCGCAGACCCTTGCGGTGAGTGTTACGGTTCTTAAAGATGGTGTGTCCGGAGTTTGTTCCTTCAGATGTTCAGATGTGTCTGCAGTTTCTTCCTTCTGGTGGGTTCATGGTCTTCGCTGACTTCAGAAGTGAAGCTGCAGACCTTCGCAGTGAGTGTTACAGCTCTTAAAGGTGGCACGTCTGGAGCTGTTCATTCTTCCTGTTGGGTTTGTGGTCTTGCTGGCTTCAGGAGTGAAACTGCAGATCTTCGCAGTGAGTGTTACAGCTCATGAAGGTGGCGTAGACCCAAAGAGTGAGCAACACCAAGATTTATTGTAAAGAGCAAAAGAACAAAGCTTCCACAGTGTGGAAGGCGACCCGAGTGGGTTGCCACTCCTGACTCAGGCAGCCTGCTTTTGTGTCCCGTGCCACATGCCCACACTCCTCAGCCCTTGGGCAGTCGATGAGACTGGGTGCCACGGAGCAGGGGGCGTGCCTGTCTGGGAGGCTCAGGCTGTGTGGGAGTCCATAGGGGGCAGGGCTCAGGCATGGAGAGCTGCAGGTCCGGAGCCCTGCCCTGCAGGGAGGCAGCTGAGGCCCTGTGAGAATTCAAGCATGGGGCGGGTGGGCCAGCAATGCTAGGGGACCTGGCGCACCCTTCTCAGCTGCTGGCCTGGTGCTGAGCCCCTCACTGCCTGGGGCCTGTGGTGCTGGCTTGGCCGCTCTGAGTTCAGGGCTGGTGGAGTCTGCGCTCACCCAGAACTCACGCTGGCCCACGAGTGCCATGCGTTGCCCCAGTTCCCACCCACATCTCTCCCTCCACGCCACCCCACAAGCAGAGGGAGCTGGCTCTGGCCTCGGCCAGCCCAGAGAGGGGCTCCCACAGTGCAGTGGCGGGCTGAAGGGCTCCTCAAGTGCCACCAGAGTGGGTGCTGAGACCGAGGAGGCGCTGAGAGTGAGGGCTGATCACCTCTCAATCCCCCCTCTAAACAGGACACCCTAACTGCTGTTGGGAATTTGACCAATGACCGCTCTAGCTACTTACTTTTGGATAGGGTTGAAGAAATACCTGGTTACAGGCTGTCCCAGGATTCCTCGCGTGGTAACAGATCTTGAGGACAGTCGTCCAGGACAGGAGATTGTCACTGAGAACGCCATGCCAGTGTCCAGGAGGAAGTCAATTTCCTGGCCCTCAATGGCTGATCGGAATAGTTGTGCTCACCAATGCAGCAACAGAAACACTAGTTTTCCTCTTATACCACAAAGAGGACTGAGGAAGGTTGGATGTAGTGGCCCTTACTGACGCATTCTCGACACCCTCCATAGCTGCTGGCCCAGGTGCTAAGCTCCTCACTGCCAGCTGGCTACTGCCAGTGCAGGGCCTGCCGAGCCCACGCCCACCTAAAACTCCTGCTGGACCGGAAGGGCCACGTGCAGCCCTGGTTCCTGCCCGTGCCTCCCCTCCACACTTCACTGCAAGCAGAGGGAGCTGGCTGGCCTCGGCCAGCCCAGAGAGGGGCTACCGCAGTGCAGTGGTGGGCTGAAGGGCTCCTCAAGCACGGCCAGAGTGGACACCAAGGCCAAGGAGTCACCAAGAGCGAATGAAGGCTGCTACCACATTGTCACTTCTCACTAGTTTCATAAAGTCTTGTGTCCTGTGGAGGCTGATCTAGTTCAGGCATTGCTGAAAGTAGTAGAGGTCTCAAATTTGTCAACACTTTGGTGATCTTCATAGAATAAAAACTCAATCATTTTGATTTATAGAAATCAGCCAGATAACCTGATGAGTCCTACTGCAATTTATCCTTAATGTGCTAGCCAAGAGCCTCAATCATAGGCACTCATGATGTATGATTGGGGCAATAAGATGTTGCTGAAGATGAATTGCCCAGCCACTCTTTGACAGAAGCTTCCCCACAGGCATGTCTGAAAATGTTTTTGTTGTGTGGGGCCAGGCGCGATGGCTCATGCCTGTAATCCCAGCACTTTGGGAGGCTGACGTGGGCAGATCACAAGGTCAGGAAATCGAGACCATCCTGGCTAACACGGTGAAACCCCGTCTCTACTAAAAGCACCGAAAATTAGCTGGACACAGTGGCGGGTGCCTGTAGTCCCAGCTACTCAGCAGGCTGAGGCAGGAGAATGGCGTGAACCCAGGAGGCAGAGCTTGCAGTGAGCCGATATCACGTCACTGCACTCCAGCCTGGGCGACAGAGCAAGACTAAGTCTCAAAAAAAAAAAAAAAATGTTTTTGTGTGTTCTAAGTACTTACCTGGGATCTAGGCCCACGGGTGGCAGCCAGGGGATGGCTGGATTTGGGCTCACCATTCTACAGAAAGCAGGAATCTAGGGCAATAGTTTTCAATCTCGATTGTTGTTTTTTTAACCATTTAAATAACCTGGGGGAGATTTTGCTTTTGCTTTTTAAAAATAAAAACCAATGCCTGTGTCCCACCCACAGATATTATGGTTTAACTGTAACGGGATGGAGCCTAGACATTTGTATTTTTTAAAAAGTTCCTTGTTAGAGTCCAGTGTGCAACCAGGTTTGAGAACCACTGATCTTTGGGTAATATGTGGTTAAAGAACAATTGTTGGCTTCTTGACATGTGTCACTATGTGCAGTTTAAGGGCAGAAAACTCACGGGTTTCTGACCCTGGAGCAAAAGAAATTCTTCAGGAATGTTCATTCATTCCTGGTTTTGGACCAAAGCTTGACACTCTGGCCCTGTTGCTACCTCGATCTGCAGTCTGAAACTGGCAACTGTGTGCGCCATTGGGAGTAAGAAAACCCATGACTGAAGCTGGGCACCAGCATCTGGTATGGAGCAGGACTGGGCTGTTTTCTTGGTAGGGAGGCTGTTGCCATTATGGACCACAACCTGTGGGCAGAGTCCTACACCACAGCACAAACACATCTACTAAGCCGAGCCCCACACTACAACACAAATACATCTACTAAAAGCAGCTGGCAGTGGGTGTAGCTGTTCCTCTCAGTAACATCATGAACAGTAGTTATTGGAGACAGGCACTTTATAAAAGGTGGCCACAAAGGGGCCAAGAAGAAAGTTTATCTATCTTCTGAGAAAGGTTGGCATGATGTGAAAATACCAGCTATGCCCATCATACCACACATTGGGAAAACCCTGGTCACAGGGACCCCCATATGGCATACGATGGTGCTAAGGGTCATGTTTTTGAAGTAAGACTTGCTGCAGAAAGATGAAGTGGCATTTAAAACCTTCAAGCTAATTACTGGGAACTGTTCCAGGAAGAAATTGCCCGACCAGCTTCTTTGGAATGGATCCTATCTATAACCAAAATGTGGTTCATGGCCAAAAAATGGAAGCCCATGACTGAAGCTATGTAGACTTCAAGACTAAGGATAGTTATTTGCCCCATCTGATCTGTGTAGGTGTCCTTCTTACTGCTGCTTTAATAAATGAGCACAAACCAAGTAGTGGAAAATGACATTAGTTTATTCTGTTACAGTTCTGGAGGCCAGAAGTCTGAAATGGGTCTTATTTGGTAAAAACAAGGTGTGGTTTCTTCTGGAAAGTCTAGGCAGAGAATCTGTTATTCTGTCCTTTCCAGATTCAAGAGGCTTTCTGCTTTCTCCAGCATGGCTCCTTCCTCGCATCATTCAGACATTAGCTTTCATGATCACGTAACTTTCTCTAACTCTGACTCATCCAGTGCCCTTTTAGGAGAACCCTTATGATTACAGTGAACCCACCCTGAAAATTCAGTATAATCTCTGCATCTCAAGATATTTAACCTAATTACATCTGTAAGGCTTACTTTGTCACACAAGGTAACATATTCACAGGTTCCAGGGATGAGGACGTGGACATCTTTGGGGGGCAATTATTCTGCCTATTACAGTGCGTTTAGTATCATCAGATATAGAAGACTGCTGTCTTAGTCTGCTGTCTTACTCTGTTACTTAGTTTGTCACCATGACAGAATACGTGTGAGGGGATAATGTATAAACAATACACATTTATTTGGCTGATGGTTCTGGAGGCTGGGAAGTCCAAGAGCATGACACTGGAATCTGGTGAGGGCTTTTGTGCTGCATCTGATCCCATAAAGGAAGGCAGGGGGCAAGAGAGCACAATAGCATGAGCAAGAAGGGACTGAAGTCTTTTTTTGTTTGTTTGTTTTTTGAGATGGAGTCTTGCTTTGTCACCCAGGCTGGAGTGCAGTGGCGCAATCTCAGCTCATGGCAACCTCCACCTCTGTTATGTTGGCCAGAACTTCTGAACTCAGGTGATCCACCCACCTTGGGCTCTCACAGAGTTGGTGAGAGGTGACAATGTGCTAGCAGCACTCACTTGCTCTTGGTGCACTTGAGGAACCCTTCAACCGGCCGCTGCACTGTGGGAGCCCCTCTCTGGACTGGTTGAGTCTGGAGCCAGCTCCCTCTACTTGCGGGGAGGTGTAGAGGGAGATGAGCAGGTGGGAAACAGGGCTGCATGTGGTGCTCGCGGGGCTGCATGTGGTGCTTGCGGGGCTGCATGTGGTGCTCGCGGGCCAGTGCAAGTGCCAGGTGGGCATGGGCTCAGCAGGCCCTGCACTTGGAGTAGCCAGCAGGCACTGCCGGCTTTGGGCAGTGAGAGGCTTAGCACCTGGGTCAGCAGCTGCAGAGGGTGCGCCGGGTCCCCCAGCACTGCTGGCCCGATGACGCCATGCTCGATTTCTCGCTGGGCCTCAGCCGCCTCCCCGCGGGGCAGGGCTTGGGACCTGCAGCCCACCATGCCTGAGCCCTGCCCTCTCCATGGGCTCCCGCATGGCCTGAGCCTCCCGGATGGGCACCGACCCCTGTACCGCGGCACCCAGTCCCATCCACCGCCCAAAGGCTGAGGAGTGTGGGCTTGCAGTACGGGACTGGTGGGCAGCTCTGCCTGCAGCCCTGGCGTGGCATCCACTAGGTGAAGCCAGCTGTGCTCCTGAGTCATGTGGGGATTTGGAGAACTTTTATGTCTAGCTGCAGGATTGTAAATGCACCAATCAGTGCTCTGTGTCTAGCTCAAGGTGCACCGATCAGTGCTCTGTGTCTAGCAAATCTGGTGGGGACTTGGAGAACTTTTATGTCTAGCTAAAGGATTGGAAATCAGCACTCTGTGTCTAGCTCATGGATTGTAAATGCACCAATCAGGACTCTGTCAAAATGGACCAATCAACTCTCTGTAAAATGGACCAATCAGCAGGATGTGGGTGGGGTTCAGATAAGGGAATAAAAGCAGGCTGCCTGAGCCAGCAGTGGCAACCCGCTGGGTCCCCTTCCACACTGTGGAAGCTTTGTTCTTTCGCTCTTTACAATAAATCTTGCTGCTGCTCGCTCTTTGGGTTCACGCCGTCTTTATGAATTTTAACACTCACCATGAAGGCCTGTAGCTTCACTCCTGAAGCCAGCGAGACCCCAAGCCCACCAGGAAGAATGAACAACTCCAGACGTGCCGCCTTTAAGAGCTGTAATGCTCACAGTGAAGGTCTGCAGCTTCACTCCTGAAGTCAGTGAGACCACGAACCCACCAGAAGGAAGAAACTGCAGACACATCTGAATGTCTGAAGGAACAAACTCCAGACACACCATCTTTAAGAACTGTAACACTCACCGTGAGGGTTGGCAGCTTCATTCTTGAAGTCAGCGAGACCAAGCAAGAACCCACCAATTCCAGACACATTGGAATTACAGGCGTGAGCCACCATGCCCAGCTTGAACTCCCTTTTATTTTTTCCGAGACGAAATCTTGCTCTTGTCCCTCAGGCTGGAGTGCAATGGCTCAATCTTGGCTCACTGCAACCTCCGCCTCCCAGGTTCAAGCCATTCTCCTGCCTCAGCCTCCCGAGTAGCTGGGATTACAGGTGCCTTCCACCAAGCCCAGCTAATTTCTGTATTTTCAGTAGAGACAGGTTTCACCATGTTGACCAGGCTGGTCTTGAACTCCTGACCTCAGGTGATCCACCCGCCTCGGCCTCCTAAGATGCTGGGATTACAGACATGAGCCAGTGCACCCGGCCCTGAAGTCACTTTTATTTTTATTTATTTGTTTTTTGAGAGGGAGGCTTGCTCTGTCGCCCAGGCTGGAGTGCAGTGGCCGGATCTCAGCTCACTGCAAGCTCCGCCTCCCGGGTTTACGCCACTCTCCTGCCTCAGCCTCCTGAGTAGCTGGGTCTACAGGTGCCCGCCACCTCGTCCGGCTAGTTTTTTTTTTTTTTTTTGTATTTTTTAGTAGAGACAGGGTTTCACCGTGTTAGCCAGGATGGTCTCGATCTCCTGACCTCGTGGTCCACCAGTCTCGGCCTCCCAAAGTGCTGGGATTACAGGCTTGAGCCACCGCACCCAGCCGAAGTAACTTTTATAACAAGTTCACTCCTATGATAACAAACCCAATCTTGTTATAATGATATTTATTGCCTCCTATCAGTCCCTTCCTCTCAACACTGTTACCCTGGGGGATAAGTTTCCAATATATGAACTTTGGGGGACACATTTAAAACATAACATCTGCCAAATCAGGAAGAAGATGATAAAAGTCTTGACCAGAGAGACCTGAGGGAAGTGGTAAATAAGGCAATTCCAGACTGTATTTGGAAAGGCATAAAAGCAGCTTGCCAATCGACATAACCTTTTTATGATGTGTGTTAGAAAGGAAAAAGCAGTTGAAGAGGCATGAGTTTGATTTGGAAAACTAATGGAGTTTCAGGATGAAGACAGTGGTTCTGGAAAATGGGAGCTAAAGTTGAATGAATTGACAGATATGAGCCCCTATCCAAAAATCTATTTAGGCCTGGTGCAGTGGCCCATGCTGTAATCGCAGCACTTTGGGAGGCCAGGGTGAGTGGATCACTTGAGTTCATAGCAGAATCGCGTATCTACAAAAAATACAAAAGAAATTAGCCAGGCATGGTGACATGTGCCTTTAGTCCCAGCTCCTTGGGAGGCTGAGGTGAGAGGGTAGTAGGACAACCGGAGATGGGAGAGACCGAGCAGGGTTCAGGAGAGCCCTTCATTATTAAGGTGATCACTGGCTCAGTAGGACTAGGGTCCAGAAAGTCTGAGCACCAGACAGAGAAAGCAGCCACCTTTTAAGCAGTCAGTAGCCAGGAGCTACCTGATGCAGGAAGCGTACTTACAGAAGCCAGAACAAAGGTAGTTGATCAGTCTTTTACATTTATCTATACTACATGTTCTACATTCCTGGGAAACCATGTTTCTGTATCAACTTTGAACTTTGCAGCCACCCTAGGGAAGTGAAGCAGGAACTCACTGAGCCTCAAAGAATGTGAAACTAGTGAGAACAGATAAGTCTCCCTGAGCA